TGGCACAGCAGGGGAAGAACAGACAGCATCAGAAGCTAGCTCAGAGTCAGTAACTCAAGCATCAGTATCTGCTCCACCTAACGACCCTGCAGAATGGCCTCCAGTCTTAACTGACTGTATGCGGACTGAGTTAGTGCGCAGAGGTCCATTCAAGCCAGAAGCTGATTTTTCTTACCCCAAAGACCAGTCCAGAAGAGGGTTCCATCAAGGCTTATTTCAGAGACGGCTGCCAAATGGGGAAAAAATTACTAGGAGCTGGCTTTCATATTCAGTGAAAAAAAACACAGTGTATTGTTTCTGTTGCAAGCTCTTTTCAACAAAAAAATACAAAATAATAGAGGATGGTATAAATGACTGGTCAAATATTAACGCCATCCTAAGGCAGCATGAGGGAAGTCCAGACCACACCAGCAACATGATTAAGTGGAGAGAGCTTGATGTGCGCCTAAGTCGTGGAAAAACACTTGACCACATTGAAATGACAGCTTTGGAGGCAGAAAGAAAAAGATGGCGAGACGTCCTTACACGACTTATAAGCATAACACAGTCTCTGGCTGAAAGAAACCTGGCATTCAGAGGTTCTTCAGATAAACTCTTCACACCAGACAATGGTAACTTCCTAAAAGAGGTCGAATTATTGGCTAAATTTGACCCAGTTCTAGAGACTCATGTCAGCAAAATCAAAGACGGAGAGACACATTGTCATTATCTCAGTAAGGACATTCAGAATGAGCTGATACAGCTTGTAAGTGACAAGATTCTCACAACTGTTGTGAAACAAGTAAGGGACTCAAAATACTTCTCCCTTATTTTAGACTGTACACCTGACATTAGCCACCAGGAGCAGATGTCCATTATCCTCAGGAGTGTGGCTTTTAAGGGACAGCCAGAGGTGAAAGAGCACTTCATTGGCTTTGTAAATGTTGAGGCTACAACTGGCTTAAACCTATCTAAAGTTATCTTGGATAAGCTGACTGATCTGAAAATTCCATTTGACAACTGCAGAGGGCAAGCCTATGATAACGGTGCTAATATGAAGGGGAGACACCAAGGAGTACAAGCCAGACTGTTGAGAATGAATCCCAGAGCTGTGTTTGTCCCATGTGGTGCACACACATTAAACCTCGTCATTTCAGATGCCGCCAAATCCTCCAAAGATGCTGTTGGGTTTTTTGGGTATGTACAAAAGCTCTTCACCTTTTTTTCTGCTGGCACACAAAGATGGAATATCTTGAAACAATATGTGAACATAACAGTGAAGTCATGGAGTGACACAAGATGGGAGAGCAGGCTCCAAAGTGTCCATGCAGTCAGATACCAGGCCTCTGAGATTCGAGAAGCCTTACTGGAAGCCAGACAGAAGATCAATGATCCTGTAGCCAAAGTGGAGGCACAGTCACTTGCAGAAGAAGTTGGGTCTTACCGCTTCTTGATTTGCTGTGTAGTGTGGTGTGAGATACTGACAAGAACAAACACAGTGAACAAGCTCCTGCAATCTGCTTCAATGCAGCTTGACATAGCTGTGCAGTTGATCTCAAATGCAAAAGCCTCTCTCACTCTGTACCGGCACACTGGATTCTCAGATGCTCAGACAACAGCCAGAAGCATTTGTGATGAAATGAATGTAGAAGCAGTTTTGAAAGACAAGAGGCTGAGAACCAGCAAGAGGCATTTCAGCTATGAAGCACCTGATGAGTCAGTGACAGATGCACTGCGGAATCTTGAAGTCAACTTCTTCAACATTGTGGTTGACTCTACAATAGCATCCATTGATGAAAGATTTGAAACCCTGAACCAGGTGAAGATGAAATATGGAGTGGTGCTGAACTTCAGCTCTGCAAGTCAGATGTCCAGTGACTCCTTGAAGGCTCAGTGTATGGAACTGGAAAAAACTCTGACCTTCAACCAAGAATGTGATATCAGTGGAGTGGATCTGGCAGAGGAAATCAAGAATTTACCTGACCTACCATCAGGGAACATGACTGCCTTTGAGCTGCTTTCCTTCCTTTGTGAGAAGAGTCTGGAGGAACTCTATCCTAACCTTTGGATAGCACTGAGAATTGCTGTCACTCTGCCTGTAACAGTTGCCTCAGCAGAGAGGAGCTTCAGCAAGTTGAAAATGATCAAAAACTATCTGAGATCTTCAATGTCCCAGGAGCGTCTGAGTGGTCTGGCCATCATGAGTATCAACCATGAGGTGGGGAAGAAAATATCATATGACGACATCATTGATGATTTTGCATCCAAAAAGTGTAGAAAGGGACACTTTTAATGGTGAGTTAACTATGTAGGTTGTATCAATACACATCCTTTTCTATTATGACTATATGTGATGTGTAAATGTGTCCATCTATCTATTGACCTTCAGTCTTTGTGCTCTTGTGTGTGTAGACGCTGTTACTTTGATTTAGATTACTTAGATTGTTTGTTTACACATTAAATTTGATTTGATTTGTTCTAATTTGTTCTGATTTTATTCTTAGTTAGACCAACAGGTGGCGTCTTGGTGACAGTGCAATATGTTTAAAGGGGGGATGAGTGGAAGCACTGTGGTGTCAGGTTCTGTTGAATTCAGTGAGGAGGGCCCCTTTGCAGAATTTTGCCTAGGGCCCCATGGAGGTCTGAACCGGCTCTGCTAGTAGACCTTCATCAGAACATACATGAGGCAACAACTATATGCTCTGATGAAGGTCTAATGGGCCAAAAGCTCATCATTAAAGTTAAACACTGCATAGATGTAAGTGTGCGGAGATCTTTTCTACCTGGACTGATGTTTCCAACACCTACCCAAGACTATGCTGGGTGGAGCGGTGGCTGTCCTGTGTACACCAAACTAAAATAGCACTACCATCAACAGGCCTGATTACAGTAGAAAATCAGCCCTGTTGCCAGAAGAAAATGTTGTCATCTTGTACATTTCTGCAAATCATAGATATGTTACATTTGCACATTTTATATGTACCATATCAATGTTTCCAAAGTGTCATAGTATATGAGCTGACTTTGTTATTGGGAGGTGGAGAGGAAGGTGGATCTTGTAACACCTAAGGAAGATGCCTGCCAAGCTGCAGACCACTGTTCAAGACCACCAAACAATAAAACCAGTTGTGATTTTGTTTAGCCAACAAAATGTGGCCGTTTTGTAGTGACCCCCTGGCAGGATAGTGCCATAAAAATTGGTTGTCTTTTACAAAGATATCGCTGCATTTCCTGCCATGATTGTACCCCCAATACTGGTTATTTTAAAACCAAACATGATTGTTTTTGGGCCCAAATATAACTACATGTTAACCACAGTGTTGATGAAATATAAAGTTTCAATGTATCTGCTATATACACTCACCGGCCACTTTATTAGGTACTCCTTGCTAGTACCAGCTCGGACTCCCTTTTGCCTTCAGAACTGCCTTAATTCTTCGTGGTATAGATTTAACAAGGTGCTTCTGAGATTCTGGTCCATACTGACATGATAGCATCACGCAGTTGCTGCAGATTTGTTGGAGGCACATCCATGATGCGAATCTCCCGTTCCACCACATCCCAAAGATAATCTATTGGTTTGAGATCTGGTGACTGTGGAGATCATCGGAGCACAGTGATCTCATTGTCATGTTCATGAGACCAGTTTGAGATTATTTAAGCTTTGCTACATGTCTTGTTTTCCTGCTGGAAGTAGCCAGAAGATGGGTACACTGTGGTCATAAAGGGATGGACACAGTCAGCAACAATACTCAGGTAGACTGTAGCATTTACACAATGCTCAGTTGGTGCTAATGGGCCCAAAGTGTGCCAAGACAATATCCCAACAACATTACACAACCACCAGCCTGAACCATTGATACAAGGCAGGATGAATTTTTGTCATTTACGCCAAATTCTGACCCTACCATCTGAATGTTGCAGCAGAAATTCAGACTCATCAGACTGCAAACATTTTTCCAATCTTCTATTGTCCAATTTTGGTGAGCCTGTGCAAACTGAAGCCTCAGTTTCCTGTTCTTAGCTGACAAGAGCGGCACCAGGTGTGGTCTTCCGCAGCTGTAACCCATCTGCTTCAAGGTTCGACGTGTTGTTCGTTCAGAGATGGTCTTCTGCATACCTTGGTTGTAACCAGTGGTCATTTGAGTTACCAGAGTTGCCCAGAGAACTGCCTTTCACTGAATATTTTCTCTTTTTTGGATCATCCTCTGTAAACCCTAAAGATGGTCGTGCATGAAAATCCCAGCAGATCAGCAGTTTCCGAAACACTCAGACCAGCCCATCTGGCACCAACAACCATGCCATGATCAAAGTCACTGAAATCCCCTTTCTTCCCTGTTCTGATGCTCAGTTTAAACTTCAGCAGGTCATCTTGACCATGTCTGCATGCCTAAATCCATTGAGTTGCTGCCACGTGATTGCCTGATTAGCTTTTTTGCATTAGCGAGCAGTTGAACAGGTGTACCTAGTAAAGTGGCCATGAGTGTAAGAACATGCAAATGTAGCATATCCATGGTTTGCAGAAACATACAACGCCAACATTTTTTCAGGCAATTGGGATGAGAAAATAACATCAAATCCTTGTGGACTTTTGCTCATTAAGCTGCATTTATATAAATAAGCTCTTAGTGGTTATATGCAGACCAAAACCTTGTGCATCTCTCAATACTCTGACTTATCTAAAATGTCTGTGGCTCTTAGCTCCAAGCCCACTGGTTTCAACTAAACCAGTGTGTGTGTGTGTGTGTGTGTGTGTGTGTGTGTGTGTGTGAGAGTAAATGTGCAGAGCACCTGCCTCTATATCAGCTAGCACATCTTTCAATTACATAGGTGGATAAGGTCATATCTAAAATCTCCATTACCTCCAACAGGTTGACACTCAATAGATAACAGAAACACAAATGTGTATGGCAACTTTGCTAGTGCTCACACTGTTGAAGCTCATGACAGTGACTGTAATAACCAACATAAGGATGGTGACAACCATGACAAACACGGACATCGAGTGGAGGCACACCTACCCATATTTCCACCACTACATGCTGTGTGGAAATGAGAGAGAGGAGGAAAAAGTAAGTTGCCGTATTAATTTTACAGACAACACATAAAAACACACATCTATCCAACAGGCAAGACTGTTGGATGAGGAGGTCATGACAGCCCAGTGAATAGAGAGTCTTGTGCTTTGATTTGATTGGCAAATATGTTCATTTCTTGTTTTTAAAGTGAGATGGGAAGATTAATATCATTGTCATGTTTATGTGTTAAGTACTGACTACAGCTGGAGTCGTGACATGGTTAGCCTAGCTTAGCATGAAGACTTGAAGCTGGAAGAAAAAAAACTGACCTGGCTCAGATGCTCATTGACATGCGCATGTCATTGTTATGGGCAGATATTGGCTTAGAAAATGAACCAGAATCGGCAAACATGCCTTTTCTTATTTTGCACAATGAATGAATATCATATACATTTAAAAGTATTGTATTTCATGTCTCTATCTGCTGGTGGACTACCACGATAAGAGTATGCAAGCATAATATGATATTAATTCCGCTACAGAAGAGACTTGATAATCACTAAAAGTAGGTGGGGGAAAATGTAGATATATCGATATCGGTATCAGCCATCGGCCAAATAAGTTGTTGTAAATCCCTACTAACGATGCGAACAATGACAGAGTCGTCACACCACAACTGTTTCTATATTGACAACTATATACCATATAAAAATTATGATCATATCTTAAACATGGCTGTATACCTGTAGGCTACTCTAAGCGGATCATTGTTTAGGTCTGTGACAAGATGATAAAGGGCTTTTTCTATATATTTGCCAAACTTATACAGAAAATGTGTTTCTAGACTGAGCAAACATTTAAATGCAGCAATTTTGTTTATGCTCTATTTATCACAGGTTAAAATGATAAATTTGACTTTGATAAAGTGACTTTTTATGCACTCAATAGATATATTTTTTCACAAATTTTGGTTGCAAATTTGTTAATATCCATGTTAGTGAACACTTCTCCTTTTCCAAGATAATCCATCCACCTGACAGGTGTGGCATATCAAGATGCTGATCAAACAGTATCATTATTACACAGGTGTGCCTTGGGCTTTTCACACTCAAAGGACACTCTAAAATGTGCTACAGAAATGCATTTTTGGGTCACAAATACCCCAAAGAGTCAGTCAGTATCTAGTGTGACACCATTTGCTTTCTGCTGTGTGACACGTCTCCTTCACATAGAGTTTGACATAAATTAAAACACACCGTCATACACACCGATCCAGACCACCCAAAACATGCTCAATAGGTGACGTGTGGTGAATACACAGGTCATGAAGAACTGGGATGTTTTCAGCATCCAGGAGTTGTGTACAGATCCTTGCAACATGAGGTCATGCATTGTCATGCTGCAGCATGAGGGCATGGCGATGGATGGAATGGCATGACAATGGGTCTCAGGATTTCGTCACGGTATCTCTGTGCATTCAAAATGCCATCAATCAAATGCACCCGAATTTGTTGTCCATAGCTTATGCCAGCCCATACCCCCATAACCCCACCACTACCATAGGGCACCATGTTCACAATGTTGACATTAACAAACTGCCCGCCTGCACAACGCCATACACACCATCTGCAATCTGCCCATTACAGTGTAAATCAGGATTCATCTGTGAAGCAAACAATTCTCCAGAGTGCCAGATGCCAGCAAAGGTGAGCAGTTGCTTACTCAAGTTGATTATGATGACAAACTGCTGTCAGGTCAAGACCTGGTGAGGATGACGAGCATGCAGATAAGCTTCCCTGAGATAATTTCAAACAGTTTGCACAGAAATTATTCCATTGTGCAAACCAACTGTTGCATCACTTGGTGGCTGCTCTCAGACAATCTTACAGATTTAGATGCTGTGGTTACATGTCTGTGGCTATGTCGGTTTTTCATTCAGTTCACAGGCAACACCTCTGGTTGACATTCCTGCAGTCAGCATGCCAATGGCACACTCCCTTAGAACTGGTGGCATCTGTGAACCTGTGTTGTGTGATCAAACTGCACATTTTAGTGTGTCCTTTTATTGTGACCATCCCAAGGCACACCTGTGTAGTAATGATGCTGCTTAATCGTATCTTGATATGCCACACCTGTCAGGTAGATGGATTATCTTGGGAAAGGAAGAGTGCTCACTGACACAGATTTTAACAAGTTTCTGACCAAAAGAGATAAATAAATCCATTGAGTGCATAAAAAAGTGTTAGACATTTAACTTCCCACTGTGAAATATTTTTTTTGTTCAGAATACAGGAAAACTGTTTAAATTGTTTGTATATATTCTTAGATATACATATTCTTTTTTGGAAAACAGTGTACCCTTTGCACATCTTTTATTTTCCATATAAAGCTGAGTAATCCTGTCTCTCCACTCTTACCAAACTACATTTCTCTTCCTAACCAATATCACATTGGTTTACAGTTTTCAGTAAGATCTCTCTCTGTGCTGTTACTGTGATCCTACACCAAATCTTGTTTAAATGGAGCATGTGGAAGTAATGTGATGTTCTTTTCTTTGTGTTCAAATCCATTTACTTCATGAAAAAAGCTCATGATTGCTGTGGTTTTATCCCTATAAGTCTTTAAGGCTATTCAGAATACAGTCACCTCTTCTTAAAGTTTATCTGCTTTTGGCAGACAGGTTGTCAGAGTGTCTGTAGTTGACAGATGTGTTTATTAGAGAGTGAAACCTTTTTATTTGTCATGGCGCATGGTAGGTAATCCAAAAGCTAAATCCATCAAGCATAAAGGAGTGCTAAGCAAGGCTAAACACAACTTGAACAAGCAACTACTTGCAATGCGCCATTCAACCTGCTGGTACACACCAATGCAACTAGATGAGAGCATACAGTATATCATCCCTATGCAACAACTCTCTGTACTTCTGTTTTGATGTCCAGCTTTTCAGGCTTATTTTGTGGCTGAATATATTTAGTAGCCTCTTAAAATATGAATGAGGATAGTGATAGTGAGATACTGGCTACACTTGCATGATCACATACAGTGATCAGCACAAGGGACAGGGCACCTGCCGCAGTAAGCGAAGGTGCCATCTCCAGTCATTTGGACTTGGCAAGCAGACTGGCAGTAGAAACAGGAGACAAGCTAAAACCAGCCACAAGCAATTGGATCTTGAGTCAAGCTCAGACCAGCCAATTAACACTGCTGCAACTTTTTTGCTGCAATATTCTAAAATAGTTCTGTCTCGTCGTAAAATTCTGTCTGTCAATCGATACAGCATAGTATCTGAATATTTTTGTGTGGCAATATCATATTGTCACACGGTGCCAAGTCAAGTGTCCATTTTTTTTTATCATATAAATTATCAATATGACAAATACGAATAAAACATTAGTTAGCCTACTAGAATAATATAATCAATTGCTTTTCAGTCCACTGGGCACATTTTGCTGCTGCAAAAAAAATGCTGAAGTGAGATGAACAGGCTAAAAACTTAATCCTATTAGATAAAACAGATGTTGACAAAGTTTTGATTTGGGGATGTGATTTACAGTTGAAAAAAGGTAATAAATCGCAATATATTGCAATATATTTTTTGCAACACTCAGCAAATCGCAACATATATTATATGTAAAATTGCAATAATATTGGATTGTGACTGAAGTATCATGATTATATCATATCGTGGATCCTGTGGTGATTCCAACCGCTAACACTACCACCTTTAATGAGTATAAATATTTGATCTTCTGCCCGTACCCTGTACAGGGCTAACTTGCAGATGTCCTTTGTTTCTTTTTTTTGTTTTAGGCAATTACCAAACAGCTTCAGGTGCATTAACTCCACCCTCTGGACAGGAATAGGTCTTACCCTGTTTTTCATGTAGCCCGGGAACACCAAGGTGGAGTGTCATCAAATCTGTGATGTGATCTGTCTAACATGGATGCATGTACTGTACTGTACTGTACTGTACTGTATTGTATGTGGCTAAATGTAAACAAAAGTCTAGTAAATTGCATCTGGGTCTGTAGTATTAGATGTTGCATATGAACACTTTAAACTGCAGGTGTAAATGGGGTCTAAGGCCTGCACAGGTATGACATTTATTGTCTCAGCAGCAGTCAGTAAAGATGTTGTGGTTCATCTTCTTCTTCTACTTATTCACCTGGAGTCAGCCACTAGAGGCCAAGTAAGAAATGTGTTTATTGGTCCCTATAGTTTGATGCTGTCAGTTGATGTGGTATTTCCTTGTGTCATTTTGCATCCCAACTGGAAATCTGAGTGAAAATCACTCCCAACCATTAAAGCAGCAATATGCTGGTCGGGTTTTGGAGCACACCCTGGCTCAAGACACACTGGAATATGCCTGGCTTAATAATGAACTACAAAACACATAATTCCTCTAAAACACACATTTGTGTGTGTGTGTGTGTGTGTGTGTGTGTGTGTGTGTGTTGCTGTCTCTCATACTCTGGTCTTGATGTCTCTGCTGACAGTGAGAAAGGACAAATTAATAACCATCCCACCACTTCATTAAAAAAAACTGCAAGTCATGATGAAATTTGACAAGAGTTTCTATTAGATCCTCCTCCACCACAACAGTACTACATCTGCACTGCGGCTTAGTGTAGTTTTTTTCTTGAACTGCACATGATTGAAACTGCTCATTTGAACAATTTAGATATGATGCAGTATTTCAATAAATGTTTTAGTTTCCATTTTTAAGCTCACATATGTATATGTGAAATCAACAATGCTGACTAAATTTTACTTTTACAATTCTTCTACCTATTCTATTAACAAAAACAAACAAAAAAACAAACAAACAAACAAACAAAGAGACAACCATAATACTACAAACTATATTATCCTCAGTGTTAAATTAACATTGCTCAGCTCCCCAACTAGGCCACATATTCTCTCACTTTGCAAATTCTATATTTGACAAATGAGCATGCTATGATACCATCTAGAATAAATTTTTAACTCTAATTTTAGCTTTAAATTTTATAAATTACACCATGTCTGCAAGAGGAACAAGTGACCCAAAGCCACTGCTCAGCCACACAATGCCCACAACCACTAAGCTGAAGAACAACAGCCAATCCAGACTGGCTCACAAAATGTATATTCTTGATGTCTATTCTGCTTGTGTTGATATGATTATGGCATGTAACTTAGCTCTCTATAATTAGACTAAAAAATCTAGGGAAACTTGTGGAACATGGTGAATATACCACTTGCACATATCTCCATGCTGAATAGCACATATTCTACAATCAGAGTTTCACATCACACAAAAACCGAACAGAAAACAGGGTGTCCCTTATGAAATGGCCAAGAAGGAGCTGTAGCACCTCGCCACTAACAGGGAAAACAGGGCCCCCTCCTGGAGCCAGACCTCGGGGGGAAGCCTGCTGTCGAGAGTCTGGGCCTCATGGGTCAAGAACTACAGAGAGAACTACATGGACCACCACCTACAGTGATAGACATTGGGGTTGCGAGCACTATCAGCCAGGCAGCAGGCAGAGGCAGGGACCTAGGCTTGCTGATCCCTGGCATCACAGACATGGAGTGACAGGGAAGGAACCAGAGCACCTATAGGTTATAGTTATAGTCATAGTTGGGCTTACCTCTAGGCATGGCACTTGATCAGGATCCAAACTCCTGGAGACATACTAGACTCTTTCCAGGAGTTTCCTAGAGTTTTCTAGAGCTTGTGGGGACACTCACAAGCCTCAAGCAAAGCATTGCTGTGTGGGAGTTCTCCCCAAAGAATGAGAGGTTTGCCTCTCTGTAACTGAGAGTCACTGAAAGGAAGGCTTTGACTGTTGTTTGTGCCAGTGCTTTAAACAGCAGTTTGGGGGATCATGCCTTCTTATTTTCTGGGTGGGGTCATGGAAAGGGTACCACCCAGTGACACTATAGCTCTGCTGTGGTACTTCAACGCTGATGAGGGCAATGATTAAGAAACTTGTAGTGCAATGATTAGGAGGAATGGCCTGCGATTTAAGCCTGAGCTGTGCTTTGCCAGACAGACCAGGTAAACCCAAACATGTAGTGAGGGTGAACTGGAGTGGTCTGGTTGAGACCCCTGTCTCTTGAGGACTCTCAACTCCAAAAAAATTATCATGCATCCCAAGTGAGGTAAGAGACATGGTATGTAAGTGGGAGGCAGCAGCTAGGAGTTGTCAAGCAGGGCTTGGCTCAGAATGTGTTCAGCAGGGGAAGATATTGGGAATAATATAAATATATACACACACACACATATATACAGTACAGGCCAAAAGTTTGGACACACCTTCTCATTCAATGTGTTTTCTTTATTTTCATGACTATTTACATTGTAGATTCTCACTGAAGGCATCAAAACTATGAATGAACACATGTGGAGTTATGTACTTAACAAAAAAAGGTGAAATAACTGAAAACATGTTTTATATTCTAGTTTCTTCAAAATAGCCACCCTTTGCTCTGATTACTGCTTTGCACACTCTTGGCATTCTCTCCATGAGCTTCAAGAGGTAGTCACCTGAAATGGTTTTCCAACAGTCTTGAAGGAGTTCCCAGAGGTGTTTAGCACTTGTTGGCCCCTTTGCCTTCACTCTGCGGTCCAGCTCACCCCAAACCATCTCGATTGGGTTCAGGTCCGGTGACTGTGGAGGCCAGGTCATCTGCCACAGCACTCCATCACTCTCCTTCTTGGTCAAATAGCCCTTACACAGCCTGGAGGTGTGTTTGGGGTCATTGTCTTGTTGAAAAATAAATGATGGTCCAACTAAACGCAAACCGGATGGGATGGCATGTCGCTGCAGGATGCTGTGGTAGCCATGCTGGTTCAGTGTGCCTTCAATTTTGAATAAATCCCCAACAGTGTCACCAGCAAAACACCCCCACACCATCACACCTCCTCCTCCATGCTTCACAGTGGGAACCAGGCATGTGGAATCCATCCGTTCACCTTTTCTGCGTCTCACAAAGACACGGCGTTTGGAACCAAAGATCTCAAATTTGGACTCATCAGACCAAAGCACAGATTTCCACTGGTCTAATGTCCATTCCTTGTGTTTCTTGGCCCAAACAAATCTCTTCTGCTTGTTGCCTCTCCTTAGCAGTGGTTTCCTAGCAGCTATTTGACCATGAAAGCCTGATTCGTGCAGTCTCCTCTTAACAGTTGTTCTAGAGATGGGTCTGCTGCTAGAACTCTGTGTGGCATTCATCTGGTCTCTGATCTGAGCTGCTGTTAACTTGCGATTTCTGAGGCTGGTGACTCGGATGAACTTATCCTCAGAAGCAGAGGTGACTCTTGGTCTTCCTTTCCTGGGTCTGTCCTCATGTGTGCCAGTTTCGTTGTAGCGCTTGATGGTTTTTGCAACTCCACTTGGGGACACATTTAAAGTTTTTGCAATTTTCCGGACTGACTGACCTTCATTTCTTAAAGTAATGATGGCCACTCGTTTTTCTTTAGTTAGCTGATTGGTTCTTGCCATAATATGAATTTTAACAGTTGTCCAATAGGGCTGTCGGCTGTGTATTAACCTGACTTCTGCACAACACAACTGATGGTCCCAACCCCATTGATAAAGCAAGAAATTCCACTAATTAACCCTGATAAGGCACACCTGTGAAGTGGAAACCATTTCAGGTGACTACCTCTTGAAGCTCATGGAGAGAATGCCAAGAGTGTGCAAAGCAGTAATCAGAGCAAAGGGTGGCTATTTTGAAGAAACTAGAATATAAAACGTGTTTTCAGTTATTTCACCTTTTTTTGTTAAGTACATAACTCCACATGTGTTCATTCATAGTTTTGATGCCTTCAGTGAGAATCTACAATGTAAATAGTCATGAAAATAAAGAAAACGCATTGAATGAGAAGGTGTGTCCAAACTTTTGGCCTGTACTGTATATGTATATATTTTTTTATTTTTATGTTTATTTTTTTAATCGTTACACAGCTTTTTGCAGGTTACCCATTGGGTACCCATCGGGTACCTCCATGGACCCTATCCAGTGCAAGACTCTACCTCAGAATTGCTTCCCAGAGCAGAGTACGTGGTGCTACTGGTTTTCATTAGACCTTGACCTTCAGCATGGACTGGAGTGGTTTTCAGTCAACCATAAAGCGATCAGCACAAATAGTATGGTGCTGTCTTCTTTTTGTTTGGGAGGATAGATTACAGTCAAACAGAACTGCATTTGTGCCAAACTGATCCGCAGCCTCTTACTGCTGCTTTTATATGTGCATTAGTGCTAGCAAGGAAACAAAAGGAAAAATGTGTGAGTTTAGATAATGAGCAGATTAGTAAGCAGACTCACTCTCCCTGTTGCTCCTGGTTTCAGCCACCTCCTCCTCTGTGTGTTTCATCAGGCTGGTGTCTTAGCCTGCCAGTCTCACCTGAAGAAAGCTCTGATCTGAGAACAACCTATTGTACAGTCATTCATCTCCCCATCCCTGGTTTGTTTGTTTGTGTGTGTGTGTGTGTGTGTGTGTGTGTGTGTGTGTGTGTGTGTAGGCGTGCATGCGTGCATGCGTGCATGCATGCGTGTGTGTGTGTGTGTGTGTGTGTGTTTGTTTTAATGTGTGTTTCTGTCTCTTCACACTCACCCCCTCAGCCTTCTCCTCTGTGTTGGCCAGCATCTCCTGAAGAGCTCGTACCGACAGTGACTGCTCCAACACAAAAGTGCAGATGGACAGATCTGGAGGCACATTCTGGAACAACAGGAACACTTAGATTATTTATTGATGTTGACTTAACTTTTCTACAGGACAGTCAATTCTTCTGTAGCAACATTCAGGACTGCTGATCATTATGGGTGGTGTAAGATCAACAAAAAAGAAATGATTTGTTACTAAATGTATGTATACTTTATTAGAAACTTGCCCTTTTTCTTAACATAGCAATTTCTAACCACACTACTTTTATGAAACTCTCTCACTCAATCACTACAAAAATCATAATATAATTAGAAAATTAAAGGCATTTATGATTGTTCCAACTCAATAATAATTTCACGATTTGGAAAACAGGATATGTTTTCTCGATCTGGACATAACCAAGGCTGTTTTCCTGTGATAATGCATAGCAATGGTAATCAATCTACAATCATCAGACATAATATCTCTTTTATATCTTATAACCTACAGCAGAAGCAATTCAGGGAAAAGCCCTGTAACATCTCTAAAATGCTCCTACAGACACTGCCTGACAGTGTGCCTGTAGCTGTCAAGAATGAATTTCCATCAGTCTATAGTGACTGACTGATACTAGTCACTGCAACATTCCTATAATTACACTGCAGAGACTAATAGTGCCCTCTGCTTCATGTCTGAAAGTCAGAGATGTCAAGTGGTGCTGCCACTTAGTTGTGCACCGAATGCTAACAAGTCTCTCCTGCCCACAAAACTAAACTTCCTTAGATACTGACAACATTTTATCCACATTCTCCCTTTATTGAAAGCACAACTATGATTCCAAAAAAGTTGGGATGCTGTGTAGACCGTAAATAAAACAGAATGCAATGATTTGCCATTTTTTTCAACCTATATTCAACTGAATACAGTACAAAGACAAGATATCTAATGTACAAACTGATTAACGTAATTGTTTTTTGTAAATATACACTTATTTTGAATTTGATGCCTGCAACAAGTTCCAAAAAAGTTAAGATAGGGGAAACAAAACACTGGGAAAGCTGTTGAATACTCAAAAAACACCTGGAACATTCCACAGGTAAACAGGTTCACTGGTTACAGATCAAAGTTTCATGATTTGGTATGAAAGGGGCATCCTCTGAAGGCTCAGTTGTTCACAAGCAAGGATTATCACTTTGCGAAAAACTGTTTAACAATGTTTCTCAATGTATAGTTGCAACAAATTTAGGAATTTCACATCTACAATCCATAATATTATCAAAAGATTTGAAGAATCCAAAGAAATCTCTGCACGTAAGGGGCAAGGCTGAAAACCAATAATGAATGCCTGTGACCTTTGACCCCTCAGACAGCACTGCATTATAAAAACAGACAGGACTGTATAAACAATATTACTACATGGGCTCAGAAACACCATTGTCACTAGACACAGTTTGTGGCTGCATCTACAAATGCAAGTTAGGACTTTACCATGGACCCCTTCAAAAACAAGATGGTTCATCTCAAGGGGCAACCTGCTAACAAACACTCCATCCATGCAAAGTGAAGAGCATATATCAACAACATCCATAAACGCCTCAGACTTCTCTGGGGCCGAGCTCCTCTGGGATGGACTGACAAGTGTGCAGTGGTCTGACGAGTCCACATTTCAATAGTTTTAGGAAATCATGAATTTCATGTCCTCCGGGCTAAAGAGGAAAAGAACCATCCAGATTTTGACCAGCTCAAAGTTCAAAGCCAGCATCTGTGTTAGTGAGTCAGTGCCCATGGCATCATGGGTAACTTAAACATCTGTGAAGGCTCCATGAATGCTGAAAGGTCCATACAGGTTTTGGAGCAACATATGCTGCCATCCAGATTAAATCTTTTTCAGGGATGTCCCTGCTTATTTCAGCAAGACAATGAGACACATTCTGCACGTGTTCCAACAGTGGGGCTTTGTAGTAAAAGAGTGCAGGAACTAGACTGACCTGTCTGGTCTAGACCCTTATTGAACACGTGTGGCACATTATTAAGCACAAAACACAACAAAGACCCCAGGCTGTTGTGCAACTAAAGTTGTATATCAAGCAAGAATTTCTCTTTAAAACTTCAATAATTAGTGTCCTCAGTTCCCAAACACTTACTGAGTGTTGTGAAAAGATGATGTCACACACCGCTAAACATGCTCCTTTCCCAACTTTTTTGAAACACGTTGCAGACATCCAATTGAGAATAAGTGTATATTTATTTATAAAAAACAAAAGTTTTTCAGTTCGAACATTAAATATCTTGTCTCTGTATTATATTCAGTTGAATATAAGCCAAAAGGATTTGAAAATCATTGCATTCTGTTTTTTTTTTAGGTTTTACCCAACATCCCAACTGTTTGGAAAAGGGGTTGTATTTTAACATTATCATTTACTTGCTGGTTTGGATCCCTTTGTCTAAAGGGATTCAAACCCTTGCACCCTTGCACCCTTGCACGTGGGTGAAATAATACGTCAATAATGATGAAAATATTAATTACATTCTGTAAAATGTGAACATAGCAGAGAGCAGAGCAGAGCTGCAGAGCTGCTGTCAGACTCCCCATCAAGAGAGACACTGTGTGCTTTCATGCATGGGGAGCAGCGTAGCTTTGCTGATTATTTCAGAAGCTAATACTGTGCGCATTGTTGGTGTATTGCTGTTTTGAGGCAGCAGAAAACGATAGTTCTATTGACCAGCAAAAACCTAGTATAAGGCGTAGACTGGTTGTGGGCTGGTGAAATAATACTGCATTAAAATATGAAAATATAAATGACATTCTCTAAAATTTGAACATAGCAGAGAGCAGAGTAGAGCTGCAGAGATGCTGTCTGACTCCTCATTTAGAGGAGCTCTGCAACTTAATTGATTACTTCAGAAGTTTAAGGTGTAGTTCTGTTTCCTCATATATTCTCTGGGGGATTGAGAGGCAAATTGTAACTCTAACCTGAAGACTTTTTTGATTAAAATTACATGAATCGCCCCTTGTGTCTTTTCTGGAGGAATTTGCATTGCCATCACTCATTTATCTGGGGGTTTCCTTTACTGTGTCACCTGACTGGCATTCTGTTGTGCATGTGGTATAAGGGAGTGTATTAGAGCTTGTATCAGTACCTTGGAGTTGGAGATGGATTCAAGAAAGCAGAGTCTGTTTCCAAAGCCTTCAGCAGCCAGACAGAGTTTCTGTTGCTCCTTATGGATTGTGGCTGAGCACTGTAGGACCACCTCATCATCCTAAACACACACAAAGGTACAGTTACAAATCAAGACACTCAGTGACCCAGAGTCAATAACAGAGATTTTATTTTACTCATTGTAGGTGGTGGCTGAAAGCTGCAGATTGATGTCATCTTTCTGACCATCACAAACACACACTTCTACATCCAGCCCTACACAGTTTAGCAACACATCTTATCACTGTGAAGAGTCAAAATATGTACACATACACATCTTGTAAGTAAATAAAGCAAATAATAATGAAGATTAAAAGTAGAATTTCTCCAATTCAAAAAGAGTATGAATCAAAGAGACTGGAGCAAAGAGTTGTTGCACCTACCCTTCTCAAAATTTATGAACAAAATACACAGTCGACAATACAATAAATACAAAAATAGTTTCTCACACACACACACACACACACACACACACACATTATATGTCTAATGTTCTGTTAACTGCAATCTATTTATAGCATGCTAATGAAGCGCAATATCTGCATTCATTTCTGTTTTATACAACGTTAGAGTGAAAAAAACAGTATAGAAGCAACATGCAAAATTTTGGGCACCCCAAGACATTTGAGTGGTCAGACAACTTTTACCAGGGCCCTGGACCTTAATTAGCTTCTTTGGGCTATGGCTTGCTCACAATCATCATAAGGAAATGCCAGTTGATACAAACTTGAAACTTTTATATGTTTGGAAAAGGGTACAGAATTTCATTTTTTTAAGATATTTTTTGCCTTTAATTGATAGGATAGTGAAGTGTGAAAGGGGGGGAGAGAGAGAGAGAGAGAGAGAGGGAATGACATGCAGCAAAGGGCCACAGGCTGGAGTCGAACCTGGGCCGCTGCGGCAACAGCCTTGTACATGGGGTGCCTGCTCTACCACTAAGCCACTGACGCCCCGAATTTCATTTAAAAAAAAACAACCCTGTCCAACTGTTAAACACGCAGGTGGATTGATCATGCTTTGGGCTTGTGTTGCAGCCAGTGGCACGGGGAACATTTTACAGGTAGAAGGAAGAATGGATTCAGTTATAATTCCAGCAAACTCTGAAAGCAAACATCACAGCATCTGTAAATAAAAAAGCTCAAGATGAAGAGAGGATGGCTTCTAAAACAGGACAATGATCCTAAACACACCTTGAAATCCACAATGGACTTTCTCAAAAGGCGCAAGCTGAAGGTTTTGCCATGGCCCTCACTGTCCCCTGACCTAAACATCATTACAAATCTGTGAATAGACCTCAAAAGAGCAGTGCATGCAAGACGACCCACGAAAGTCACAGACCTAGAAGCCTTTTGTAGGAAGAAATGCAGAAAATCCCCCAAACAATAATTTAAAACTCTTAGCGAGTTACAAAAGGTGCTTAGAAGCTGTGATACTTGCCAAGGGGGCGCTACTAAATACTGACCATGCAGGGTGCCCAAACCTTTGTTTCAGGCCCTTTTCCTCTTTTTTTAATTTTGAAACTGTAAAAGATTGAAATATAACAAATAAATCTTGCTTAAAATATTGAAGAACTTTAACTTTTTATCTTTTGGTGATCAGGTCATCTTTTACTTGCTTAGCTATTCACAGTAAAAATTTTGACCAGGGGTGCCCAAACTTTTGCATGCAACAGTGCATGTATCTGTAACACTACTGCCACACAGGCACACATTTTAGCAATTTCAAATGTTCTGTAAACATGATGACCTCCTTCTGTGCTGTTGCACTTTGCTAATATAAAACCAGATTCAGTGACATCAAATAAACAGATAACCAGGTCTGTTCAGTCTAGATCAGGCAGATAATCATTTTCCATTCTCCTCACCATGTGCATTTTAATCAGGGGTTAGATCAACAGAGACAACACAAACTATCAACATAGGCTCACTTTGTTACTAACACACACACAGGCCAAATGTAGTGCACACTGAGGGACAGTGTGTCTTGTGGCTATAATAGCTTCCTATCAGCCATTCAGACAATAACAGCACTACAACATGTCCTGCATTAGAGTGTTACAATTAATTAAAAACCTGTCTGCTGACATGTCACAGCAGCTAATCCTGCTGTAACTGAGATCTAATCAGCATACATCTGTTTATCTGCCTAATGTCTGTTCACCCATACATGGGCATGTGTACTAAAGTCTTCTCAGGAACTCCTCAGGAGTTTCTGTGAACATCATTTTAAGTAAGTGTCTGTGTGCAATTAACCATGGTTGGAAAAAGGATATACCCCCATCAACCCCAACTTTCTTCCGATCTCTGTCCTGGTCTTAAGTTGGGGCAAAGTCATCCACTCCTTGAATTCCTTGGCCAGAAGACAGAGATAAACAATTAAGTGAATGATAATGGAGAGGGAGTATGACATCAGTGGAACAGAAAAACCCTGGACAAGAAACTATATGAGTCTTTGGAGTCTTTAGTGGAGGTGTCAGAGAGGAGGATGCTAAGAAAACCACTCAGTATTCTAGACAATGCCTCTCACATCCTGCATGCCACTCTGGAGTCCTATCAGAGCACACTCAGCTGTAGACTGAGATCACTGAGGAGCACCACAGAACACTACAGGATATCTTTTCTACCTTTGGCAATCAAACTGTATAACTCCTCCCCCTTCTGTAGAGAAGAGAGCTGAAACAAGACACTGACAGCAAGATTAACCTACAATAGGTGCACTACAACTTTTTGCTCCTTAAACACTTTATAGTTAGAATATTTTGACTGATACTGTAGTGTTCTAAAAACTGGGCCCAGTTTGTGGCCCTGTCCTGCAGAACCCACTGGTTCTTCTGGTTGCTACTGGTTTGTGAGCATTTATTGTTGTTATTGTGATTTGTGTTACCGTAATTGTAGTATTCTCTGGCACAAGAATTTCCTTCAGGATAAATCAAGTTCTACTGAATTGAGTTGAATTGAACTAATTTGAACTGAATTGAACTGAACTGAACTGAACTGAACTGAACTGAACTGAACTGAACTGAACTGAACTGTGAAGATAGTGGACTGTGTCTTCAGTCTTCATCAGTAGGTCTGATATCAATACCTAACAACTATAGATTATTTAAAACTTAAAGCCCCTCCACCTGTAACCCCAAGTGGCAACACCCTAACTAATTTCAAGACTTAATAACATTTAAACTGGTATATATATATATATATATATATACGTTTTTTTGTACCAGGCTGTAAATGTAAACATGGACATTTAAACATGAGGGGCTATAGGGATTGACTCGCTTTTGGAGTCAGCCTCAAGTGGCCATTTGAGGAACTGACAAATTTTTGGCACTTCCATGTTGGCACAATTTTTTAGCACTGGCAGTTCCAGCTTGGTGGGAACGCATGGTCAGAGTCGGTGGGCCAAACACTAATGAGCATGTGCAGTGCAGTCTTTGGGTCTGATATCCAGTTCCTATTATACATCCAGGGGGAATACCTTATACGGTCAGATGGTAGGTGGAGCCTGCAGGACAAGCAGCTCATATCTAGCCTGAAAATCTGAATTGTTTTGAAGCTCATGCTTCACTTGTGCTATATGCCCGCCAAAGTAACCTAAAGTCTATATTCCCATTTTAAGGCAATTCTCTCATAAATCAGCATACATTATGATGAATTAGGGCTTCCTTTGTTGTTTCATCATTTATAAGGGCTCTCTACCACTGGAAGATGAAAACAGACTAAATGTGGCTGGAAAATGGCCACAGAGTGAAGACCTCTCCCAGGGGCACAATTCTAGTGAATTGTCTGCAGTGTTTCTCTCAGGCTGCAGCTTGATGATGTTGGTGAATATACCGTTCAAGAAGAATACATTTTAATACATACAGCTGGAAATAACTAAATGTAATAGAGTTCCACTGGGGAACATTGTAGTTGTCATAAGCTGCCTCTGGAATTCATCAGTCACTGTGGTTCTGCTTAATTATCTAGACGTGTGGGCTGAGGGAATACCATCATACACACACACACACACACACACACACACACACACACACACACACACACACACACACACACAGAGCCATGTAAGGTTTGTTGGAAGCTGGCGTAATGTCTTAATGACTATTCTAATGTCTGGCACATAGAATCCCTCCTGCCCACACCCACATACATGCATACACAAGAAACTGGGAGCTAGCTGAGATATCTGCAATGGCTATCATTAACATGAATAATGCCTTAGTGACATTTATAGTGGATGACACACACACACACACAGATACTGTTCCCTACATGAAGATGTCTGGTGTCTGTCAGCAGTAGTATGCCTTCCAGCCTTCTATGGAGAGAGAAAGAGAGAGAGAGAGAAAATGGAAACGAGACAGACGCAGAGGGACTTATGATGATCAACGGCAGTCATTTTGAGCAACATGTAGTAATTGCAAATTTGTAGCATGTGTGTCTAAGTATGTAGTCCACTCACTTTGACTGCAGTGGAAACCATTAAATAATCATTGAAAGGACATGCCTCAAGCTGCATTTTCTCTACAGGCCACTAGAGGCTGATCTGATGCCTCTATGATTAAGGTTAAGTTGGTTTAGGGATAAACAGGATAGGTCCAAGAAGGCAAGAAGCAAGAAGGGGTCAGACAGTCTTTCAGGCTGTAAACAAGCATTCAGTTTTGCCAGATTAGATACAGCACATTTTTATTTACAGGTAAAATAGATAGTGAGCACATCTGCTAAAACACAAATGGTGCTAAACAGCACTGGAAAGTGGCCCTTTTGCTTGTAATCATAGGCAAACCTTTTTTTGTGCCATACAGCACCCATGTTTTAAAAGGTGCTACGAAGTGCATTTTTCCTAATAATGCTATACTGTACAAACCTAGATGCACCAAATATGTAATATGTATTGTTTGTAAATTTTTGGGTGTAGGGGCCCTTGAATAATGCCAGATAATACCATGGACAAGCCAGTATGCTTCTAAATGGCACCTTTACTTAAAATATAAATGAATGACTGTTAAACATTTTTTGTGAAATTTTGGCTTAAATGATTCAGAACCCTGTACTAAATGCT